GGGCGGGGACTGGCAGCAGGGGAGCTGCCGAGGTCTCAGGTCACCGTAGGGGGAGAGGAAAATTGTGTTACCTCTTGGTCTGGCATGTGAACACTGTGGTGCTCCACACTTGCTTTTGAAGTGCAGTAAACACAGTATTTAAAAGAATACATTTTTTAAATACACGGCTTTTCTATAAACAAGGACACTGCTTGCATAATAAACTAATAAAAATAACCTGCATTCTAGCCTGCAAAGAATGCTATTGGTTTCAAAACAAGCAGCATTTCATATGATAATTAAAAGCAGAAAACTCTCAAGACATGGGACTGAGTATTTTTCTTGGACTGAACTTAGGAGCTGAGAACACATGAGATGTTTTGGGGGCAGTGAAATCTCCTGCACTGCCAGATACAGTGAACATAAGCGGGGTCAGGGCGAGATGTACCTCGGGACGCAGCCTGGCTCGAGTGTGGCGCAGAATCGGCCCCAGGGTTCCGCTCGAGCACCGCGCGGCTCTGGTCCCCGCTCATCCTGCAGCGTGCCTGTACCTCGGTGGGGTGGCACCACCAGCTCCCAGGGGCGACGTGGCGGGGAGACACTGGCCCACCTGGGCACGTGTCCCTCGTGGGTGTGTGCCCAGCGCGGGCGTCAGGGCTGGCGGACGGGGCTGGCGAGGAGACAGCGCTGGGACTCTGTAGAGTTGGTGGCTGCTTCTGGGTCCTGCTCCTCACTGCTGCCACCGTCACAACCCTCATACCTGTGCCCGCTGTGGGCACAGGGCCATGATGCCCGGCCGCAGCGGTGCCAGAGCTGCCGTGGGCACACCAATGCAGCGAGACCCCAGCCCTCGGGCTGCTGCGATCCCTGCCAGTGGTGCCAGTGTTTTGGGCCGAAGCTGCGCGGGCGGGCACTAACCGCTCCTCTCTCTTGCTCTCCCAGTTAGCACCGAGCTGAGCCAGGGCTGTGCCAGAGGCTGCGACCTGTGCTCCGAGTTCAATGGGTGCCTGAGATGTTCCCCCAAACTCTTCATCCTTCTGGAGAGGAACGATATCCGGCAAATTGGGATCTGCCTCCCGTCTTGTCCACTGGGATACTTCGGCCTTCGCAATACTGACATGAACAAGTGCATCAGTGAGTATGGGGGTGGGAGGGAGCGGGCAGGATGCGGGAGGGTGGCAGTGCTTCGCGGTGCTTTGCAGGGGATCGTGCCCCCTCTGGGGACGTGCGAGGAGGTGCTGTGGCTGTATCGAAGGGGACAGGGCAGTGCTGAGCAGGGCAGGCATCTACCCAGGGAATAACCCCATCGTTTATGCTGGTGATGGCAAACGCACCCTGAGTGCCCCGGCGCTTCCCCACTGCAGCACTGGGCAGCCAGTGCCGCACGCAGCTGGGCTGAGATGCTCCTTCCCTTTGGACAGCTGCTTGGTACTGCCCACACAGTGCCCTCAGAAGGTGGGTGAGTGTCCGCTGCCCCCACATCAGCACTCCCATGCAGGTTTTGACTTGAGTTTTGGCCTTCCTGGTCTTTGAGAGTCTCTGTGTGCTGCAGGCAGGTGGTGGTGATGGACCAATGGTCCACTGGAGCAGAGGGCCACCGGGAAAGCCTTCAGGGCTGGGTTACTCTGTCACAGTGTGCACAACACCGCGTAGGAATGCTGTGAATGTGGCATCTTGCAGGATATTGGGGAAGCTCTGTTACCTGGGCTGCCAGATTGGCACTCTCTTTCTTTGGGAGGAAGGAGGAGGAAGGAGATCCTGTCAGCCTTTAGGGTACTGCTCACACAGGTACCTTTTCTTCTCTCCTTCGCCCATTCACCGTGGCCAAGTAGCTCTCTGAACGAGATCCTTGGCCTGGGGCTGCCTCTTTCAGCCAGAGGACCAGAAAGAAGCTGGACATGGAATAATGCAATCACTTCCCTGGCAGTTTCGTGCACATCACCCTCATGGGCAGATTTCCATCTAGCTCTGTGTCTTTGCAGCCCATACTGTGTCTGCAGCTGGAGCAGCTGATAGGGGCCTTTATTCTTTGCACTGTCCCACTTTGGCTGACTGATGCTTCAGCTGAACACCAGCCCAGATCTTTTCCACTCTGCCTCATTTCGATCTGGCAGCGGCTGCTGCTGGCCAAGAGACCTGCGGCACAGTGGCTCTGTCCTGCACCAGGGAGCAGCACAAAGAAAACTGACTTCTGAGTAGCACAGCCCAGCCTGGCAGGATGCTCAGAGGCTGACCCCGGCTGTTGGCAGACCCCTTGGAGCCAGGAGTGGACTCTAGTTAGCAGTCAAAGAGCTTCCCGAGTCTTTTGCTCACATAAGACTACATGACTGTGTGTTTTTTTTCTCCAGAATGCAAAATTGAGAACTGTGAGTCCTGTTTCAGTCGAAACTTTTGCACAAAATGTAAGGAAGGTTTGTATTTGCACAAAGGGAGATGTTACGTCACGTGCCCTGAAGGTTACTCTGCTGCCAATGGCACCATGGAGTGCAGTGGTCCTGGTAAGTGGTGCTCGGGCACCTCTCACTGAGCTTTTTGTGTGCCTCTTGGCTCCAGTCGCATGTGTTGCTACAGTTTGGTTTAGATGATAAAACAAACCCCTCAGAGACAACGGCTCATCGTACCCGTGTCGAGCGGGTGACGGTACGGGCCAGACCCAGCCCTTCAGAGGGCAGAGCCCCCTGGAAACCATCCCCGGTGGGGAGCAGCACCCCGGCGTTGCTGTGAACGTGACGCGGCGTTTGTGCAGTACAAGGAGGGGGGTGCCTTGGGAACTTAGGAAGCTGCTGGGGAAACACACGCACCCTTTGAGCCTAAAGCAAGGCAGAGGTGCGATGGGGTGCGAGGGCTCCGGGAGGTCCTGAGGCAGCAACGGAGAAACGAGAGTTACTGCTGTGCTCTCTTGTTATCTGGCAGCACAATGTGAAATGAGTGAGTGGGGGCCCTGGGGGCCCTGCTCCAAGAAGAGGAAACTCTGTGGCTTCAAGAAGGGCAACGAAGAGCGAACGCGACGGATTCTGCAGGCTCCCTCCGGAGACATGTCCCTGTGTCCTGCCACTACGGAAGTGCGGCGATGCACCGTGCAGAAGAACCAGTGCCCTGAAGGTGAGCAGACGGGGACTATCTCGCCAGCCCTCCCCAGCATCTTTCTTGGTCAGGCACAAGCACTCAGCCCATTGTCCAGTATCAGAAATGCAGCGTGTACCTTACAGCCCCTCTGCGGTACAGGGAACACAGTGCGACGGCAGCCAGAGAGACCCCCGGGTGGAACCAGCATGGCCCCCCCGGGTGGGTGATGCTCAGCATGGCTTGCCACGCGTCCCACGGGCTTTCAGACGTTTTAGCTTCTTCCCTGGGGGGGGCCACCTGGGCAGCCAAAGGTGCAGCCTGTGCGCCGCGGCGATGGGAGTCGTTTTCTCTACCAGAATGCTTAGGTCACTGTTTGTGCCAGGAATTAGAGTGTCTTCAGGATGAATGGCAGTTTGGTCATCCTCCTACGGGACGGACAAGGATTGCAGCTGGGTTGAGCGTTCTGAGGGAAGCCGGCTCTGCGCCGTGGCTGACACGGCGGGGGACGCGGTCAGGGAGGCAGAGCCGGCGGTAGCGCGGCCGCGCGCGGTAGCTAAGGGGCTTGGTGCGCGGCCGCGGGGAAACACAAGTGTCAACGCTTCTGCCGGGCCCCGGCAGTTACAAAGCCAAATCCAGATTTGACCCTTCTTCCCTGTTTGTATTTGGGCAGCAGCTCGCAAGGCGAAGCGCAGCCGGGCAGAGGGCGGCTCTCGGGCTCCTCCGCGCGTGGGGGGGTGGTGGGCAGCCGCGCGCCGCGGGCCAGCCCGCTCTGCCGAGAGCCTCACCGTGCCCCTTTGCTTTACTGCAGGGAAAAGGAAGAAAAAGGAAGAGCAAGGAAAGCAAGATAATGCGAACGGGAATAGAAATCGGAAAGACACCAAAGACGCTAAGTCTGGCACCAAGAAGAGGAAGAGCAAACAGAGAGGGGCCGCGGTCCCCGCGACGTCCACCAGCCCTGCCCAGTAGCTGCCCCTTTATGTCACCTGATGGCAAGACTTCGTTGCTGCTATGTATATGAAAGCTTTATTGAACCAGAGCACTGCTACACAACACGTACACATGTCCAGACAGACAGACATATACTCTCAGACTGACCCACAGACCCGACAGAAACCACATACAAAATACTTCAGGAGGCTGCACACCCACCCAGGACCGCAGAAGGACGCTGCCGAGGAGTGGGAGCGCACGTGGAGGGAAGCCCACCTGCCCCGGGCTGCGCGGAGGACACCGCGGGGAGGAGAGGTGGAGTATGAGTCAGGAAGGACCTGGACACGAGACTTCGAGACCGAAGGCCTCAACCGGAGACCGGCGGCGCGGCCCCGGCGCAGCGCGGCTGCAGCCAGCGGGACGAGACTGGACCTGCACCTGGGACCTGGACTCACAGGAAGGCAGTGGCCTCTTTCTCTTCCCCTCACCCTTTCTTTTGTGTTTTAAGCTGTATGACTTTATCATTGCGAATACATGTTAAACATTTGTGGTAAGAGGTCAGTGGTATCTGCCCTGAATCTGCTTCAAAGAGTTATTTCAAATTAAAAAAACAAAAACCAAAATGACAGCCAGCTTCCTGAGTGTGTGGTTCATGCCTTGGCCCCTATGGAGGCTGGTGTCCCACAGGACAGAGACTCGCTTGTGGAAGGGAAACTCACCAAAGCTGTAAGAAAATCCCAGCAAATGCTGCCAGCGGCACTGCAGCCCCCGGCCGTCCTGCGCCGGCGGGACCCCGCTGCGCTCCGCTGAGCCCCCGCAGTGTCCCACTGGAGGATCCCGTTCCCGTCCAGCAGATGGAGAAAATGAGGGGTTACAACAGATGGCAGCTGCCCGGAACCTTGTGACTCCGCTCGTACAGTCACAGTTGCGGGACTCCGTCCCGGGCTAAGGGACACGCTCGTCCGTGCCCGGACACCGCCGGGCACGCTGCAGGAGGGGTGGCAGGCGGGAGGGGGACGGCGCAGTTCGGGCTCTGCAGAAGAGAAGCAAACCGTTCGGTTTGGTAGGAACTACCGGTCCGCCTGCACCGACTGGACCTCCCCGGATTCAGCGCAAGTGCTCCTGCTCTGCAAGAGCCGACACCTGGGCAGAGGAACCGGGACGAGGAGTGTGTGGGACAGACCTAGTGAGACCCACGGCTGCTCCGCACGGAGAGCTTTACCCTCAGCTGTGTCACGAGGTGGCATACTGCGCAATTTCCCTTTTATTTTAAAATGAACTTCCTCGATACAGATACGTGCAGACATTTAATTCCTCTAGAGTTCAGCAAAAGCCCTCTGGTCCCGAGGGACGGAGCCAGGGGAGGTGCCGTGGCTCCCAGAGATGTGCCCGGGTGGATCGGTGCCGTGCTGCTGAAGCTCCTAGCTCCCCTGGTGAGGTGATGGGCAGGGAAAAGCTCACCCCAAAGCTAAACCTGGCGAGTACCACCTCCGCTGCGCTCGCGTTCGTATCACCTTCTCTGCGCTGCGGTGCCGGAGGGCAGAGCGAGCGCACGGGGACGCCTGCGGGAGAGCTCCCCGCTCGCTCCGGCAGTCCCGGTCCTCTCCTGCGCAGAGCCGGCGGGGGGCTCGGCTCCAGCAGAGGACACCCGAACCCCCCTTGGTCCCGCTCGCCCCGCGGCTGGCGTGGCTCAGCGCGGGACGTGGGAGCTGCTCCGTTGGTTCAGCCCCGGAGCTGTACCAAGCTCTCCGTGGCTGCTCTGCTGGCAGCAGAACCTTTCAGTCCATCATCCACTTCGTGCTTAAGTAAACAAGAAGCCGTTATATCTTTTAAAGGGGATTCCATTTCAGCACAATGATGAACGACCAGCATACCAAGCAGAGAGAGAAAGAGGTTCTTAAAAGTCATCCTTTGAGTTGTTTATGGATCATGTTCCGGCGATTCCTGAAAGCCTCCCAGCTGAAGGATCGGCTCTCGCTTTGTGTCCCAGCTAGCCTGTGAGAGAAGTATTTTGTTTGTGCCGTGGCGTTGCATGTCAGCGGAGCCGTTTTTCCCTTCCTCTTTTTAGCAGCAATAATCAGTAACCCTTTGATGAACCTCAGCTTGCTAATTCATAACCGACTCCTTCCTCCCTCCGGCTGCAGTGCCTCCATCCAGCCCGCCGCGAGGATTAGGGAGGAGCGGGAGTGCATCCGTGAGGTCCGATGCACGGAGGCTCTGTGAACTGCTGGGCTCCCCACAGTAACTCACGGCAATATTAGCACAACTATTTCAAAACTAAGCCGCGTGTAATAAATCAACACAACCTATTTTATAGAACTCTCTAGAGTTTTTTAGAAAAACTGACAAACTGCTTTCTGTTGTAGCGTTTTCGCTTCTTTCTTCCTTTTTCATAGCAAAATGGGAAGAAAAAAGGAGAAAGGCAAAGGAAAGTTTAAAATGCGTATTAAGAAAATCCAAGATTTTTCAGTATGGGTGATTTTAAAATCAAATTGTTTTAGAAAAATCAGGAGGAAAATATAAAAAATAAATCCAATTTATTTTCTCTTTTTAATCAGCTCGAGGACTGTGCTTATTCTCACTCCCAGAGAGCTGGCTCATTTCTGAATTGGGAAACATTTTGCCCTTGACCAACGTGATTTGCACGCTGAGCTCCACCGTCAAGCCAGAGATTTCCTGAGATAGGCTGGTGCCATCTCGACTGACATGCACACGAACGCTCTCTTTCAGCCCACCAAATAAAACCTGTTGTGGTGTTCTCTCCATGGCATCACTGTAAAATACGCTTTTTTAAACAAATAAATAAATAAATGGGTTTGCTGGACAAGCTTTGTTTGCTTTATTCACCAGAACTGGAGTCAAATCCCAACGGATCAGAAAGAGAGAGCCTCTCCTACGTAACTTCTGACTGCTCGCTACCGTCCAGAAGCCAAACGGGCCCGTAGGGATCATGGCACGGAAACGTTGCTGCTCCACTCTGGCTTCTGCAAGTATTCGTGTCTGTACCTGGACCATGTAGTTGCTGAACTGGAGAAGCACTTGGTAGAAGTACAGACAGACAGACCGACCCCTGGTCGGAAACTCCTTTGCATAGAAAATGTCTCCATTTATACTGTTGACCGAACTGGTGTTTTTTCACTGGACAGACTTCTGCTCAAAATCTTTTGGGTAATTCATCCCACGTAATGGGGAGCAAAGGGCAAGGAATAATACATTAACAGCTTACAGTTGTGGGTTTGGAACTGTTCAATTTCGATCTCATTTGCCGAGATTTAGGAGCTAAAGCAGACAAATTTCACCAAACACAGGTCGGTTGTATAATGTTCTTATTCCCTCTGTGTAATATAAATCTGTATTTTTCATCGGCTACAGTAAAGTCAAATGTGTGCACATCTACTCCTCAAGCAATAATTTACTAGCTCTCTGCCCCCATGGAGATGGAGGCAATGTATATACTTTTTAGTTCGTGTTTATGTTAAAATGATTTCTCACTCAGAAGAAATCTTAGCTTTGATTAAAGGAAATAGAGTAGGATAGTGAAACAGGTTACCCCCAGTACTATTATTTGGATTACATTGTCTGAGAACATTAAAAGGGATGTTTTGTATATATTTACAGATTTTATTAAGTCAATAGTCTTCCCAGAAAGAGATGTTAGGCATAACATTTTAAAAAAAGCTTCTGTTAAAATTACAGAAATACCAGCTGTACAGAACAGTCACCATAAATAAATCTGCCAGTGGCATTTATATACATGGTAACGTATTGCACCGACCGAACGGCAAGCCATGGTTTAGATGGAGCTGCTGGCCGTCATCTCCATGATTTTTGAAGAGCTGCAGGATCTTAGCAGAAAAAGAGGCAACCAGGTCGATAATACATTATTTTCAGCCCAAGCAAAAGCACCTCGTCTGCTGCTCGCCACGGCACCGGCCGGCCGAAGGCCAGGTCCGATCCTGCGGCGCGCGGCTCACGTGCCTGGTGCAGCACGTGCAGCTCTGCAGAAGAGAAGTCACTTTTCGTGACTATTAAATCACAAAAGTGAAGCATTTGTATGTCAAGGCTTTAGCTTCCAGACTGCTCGTGAACACTAACTCCTTCGAGAGACGGGCGGCGCGGGGTAAGTCCCAGCAGCGCAGCAGACGGCTCTGCGGGACCTGCATGGACTGAGCGCGATGGTCGCTCCGAGGGCTCGATCCTGCCGGGCACAGCGCAGCCCGCGTTGTCTTTTTCTCACCTTTTTGCCTTTTTTTTGCTTGACTTCTATTTTCTCTTCCCTTCAGCTCTCCCCTATTGCTTTCAGTCGCGTTTTGGGAACTCCAGATCCAGTGCAACGGTATCTGGGATCGCTTTTGTTTTTTCTGTTAAGGAGCTGTCAAACCTGGAGCCTTTTCCCAAGGAGCCCTGCCTCCCACCTTGCAAGCTATATCCCTGAAAACCTATTCCTGAGGAACCGAGCTGGTGAAAAACCATCTGCAGTATCTCCTGGCAGTGCTCGAGATGATTTTGCAGGCTAGCTACGAAAGCCACTTCTGTCCTTGTGCTCTGCAGGAAAGTGCTGCAACAAGGAGTGTAAAATGGCAGATGTTGCCCTTACCCTATTAAATAAAACAAAGTAGCTCCGTATCACACTGCAAAACTGCTCTGAGTACAAGTCTAGTCTTGTTCTGAAGTCTTGGAAATCTATTTTTCCTTCATTTAATTGACAAAATCTGTAGATGATACACGGAAGGCAGTCCCTGCCAAAAATCAAACATCACTAGTTTTTAATAATACAATGGGAATAACCCCTTAGAACATATGTAATTATGGCAATGAGTCACTCCGATGGCATCGCAGAACCACATTCGCTGGGATTTTGACAAGGAAGAGGCCACAGAAAATTCAAAATGATTTCATTTCAGCAATGGTCAGGCCAGTCGTGTCAACGGAGCTGAGGCTGGTTGGCAGATCCGGCAGGTCTGGCATCCATCGCCAACCCCGTCCTGCCTGGGACGCAGCACGGACAACATCCCACTGTGTCCAATTTAAAAAGA